AATCGGACGTACCATTTTCAAGCGGAGGATGAAGCGGATCAACATGCATGGATGTCGGTTTTAATTAATTGCAAAGAAATGGCGTTAATGAAGGCTTTTGATAACAGTGGCAAGACTGGGAGTGATAAAGTTAATCATAGTTTAATTGAATTACAACAAGCCATAATTCGATATATACAGAAGATTCCAGGGAATGATCGATGTTGTGATTGTAATTCGCAAAATGGTAGCAAATTGTTTCAATGATGAGAATTGAGTGTGATTTTTTCGTTTTAGATGCCACTTGGTTATCAACRAATTTCGGTATTATTGTTTGTATTGAGTGCTCAGGTATTCACAGGGATTTGGGTGTACATATTTCCAGAATTCAGTCTTTAACCCTTGATAATGTTGGAACTAGTCAATTGGTCCTCGCTAGATTTATGACAAATCATAGTTTTAATGATATTATGGAAGCTCAGTTGTCACCTAATGAAAAACTTGAACCGTCCAGTTCTATGTATGTATGTTTGTTGACTTGACTTGACCTGACCGGTTTTTGATTTTAGGGAAGAAAGACTTAATTTTATTAGAGCTAAATACGTAGACAAGCAATTTGTTGATAAAACTTGCGACAATGAAATTGATAAACTTTATTATTTAGAAGAGGCAGTTAATAAAGGAGATTTAAGTTTACTTTTGCAGACTTTTGCCGAAAATGTTGATTTTGGTGCTACTTTGCCATCCTCGAAAAACGGCGAAACGGCTTTACATCGAGCGATTTTGAATGAGAATGGAAGAACGTTACATATAGTAGATTTTCTTATTCAAAACATGTCCAATTCAGTTATTGACAAAGCAACGAGTCCTCCTTCCGATTTAGAACACTGTGGATCAAATACTGCTCTGCATTTATGTGCCATTTATGATAAGGTAGAATGTATGAAGCTTCTTTTAAGAAGTGGTGCTAATGCCAACCTTAAAAATTCTCAAAATAAAACCCCCATGGATATTGCTCAGGAGTTGGGCCATCACACTTGCGAAGATCTGGTAAAAATCCAAACTTACGACAAACTCAAATCTATTTATTTTTTTCCCCAGCTTATGAATACTGCAAACAGACAAAAGAACTTCTTCGATAATATTAATATCGACTGGAATTTGTCTCACGACGATGGTTCTACCGATTTTTCAGACGATGAAACAATAATAGAAGATAGAGTAAGTGGTGACAAATAACGAGAATTTTTTTTTCGGCCTTCGTCTAAAATTAGTGATTTTCTAATCGTTCAAATCGTCTTGACAAGAAATTGAAAACAATGAAAGTTTTTGTATTGGTAGCACTGAGTGACACTGAAATGTCAAGCCTGTTTTGTACTTCTCTTTTTGTTACAAATTCTGTTCACTGTCATTTTTCATCGAAGATCCAAGTCTAAAACAAACAACAAATGACCTTTTGGAAGTCTGCAAAAACAATTTGAATGACTAACCGGCCGTATTTCTTCACCATTTTACTGCACACGACATTTTGACTAAAAAATCGAATCAGAATGAATCGAATTTTAAGAAAATTTTCAGAAGCCCATTTCTTCAACAAATCATATTTTTCCAATAACGATTGGACGAGTTTTCTGTTTTCGAGCGAAAAGTCGTTTAGATTCAGTGAAAAAATAAAATTGTGGTAGAACCAGACCAAACTCATACCATCTTATTCCTTATATGATTTTGAACATGAAAACAAAATTTACGACTCTTTCACCCCCAGCAGAACCCCTAATTTTTAATAAATTTTATTTTTTTTAACATAATCGTAATTAACGTTTCTCAAACTTTCCAACGCAATATCTTTGGAATTTGTGAAGCTATCGAATTCGTTTTTGTTTTATTTGAAAGCAGAAACGTGAGCGATATTTCTGATAGTACTGTAGTAAATAACATTGTTAATAGACATTGTTTTTAAATATGTAACAAACTGAAAAAAAGTAATGTTATGTAGTAAAACAAAAACACCATATATGCTCCGAATCAAATTTACACAAAATACTAAAAAAATGTTTGYTGCCAAAAGTGATACAATTGAATTAWTAATTATTGATATATAATTCAATATAAATGAATATGTTTATTTATAAAATAAAAGTTTAGATTATGTCCGTAAATATGTCATTATCGAGATCGCTCTCTAAATTAATATTATTGCCAATAGAACTATTGTTGTCTTTTCTTTTTTCAGCAGCGGAAATTATTGTCAACCCTTGTTGCTTGGGGTGTTGAACAACACTTTCCTTATCACAATCAACTAAAGATTCGCCACAAATTAAACAGTCCATATTGATTATGACCAGCTAGAATCAAACACGGGAACAAAACTGAACCAAATGAGTGAGACACAGAAATATTCACGTGTAAAGAGCGAGCGCTTTTTCTAAGAATTGTATCTCAGTATCGATGGAGTTTTCAGAGAAAAGTTTTCTATAAAAAATGTTATTTAATGTTTTTTCTATTTACTGACAGCAAGAATTATATAAAAATGTTTAGAAGTAAAAAAGTTTCTCGCTTAATGAAATTTCACCTACTGATTTTGTATTTTAAAACATTCTTTATTTATAATAAATTATAACAAAGTATAGTAAACCTAAATAACACTCTAAGAAGCGCTCATCATACTGCTTTTCAACAAAACAAAAATCTCGTTATTATCTATAACGGTTTCTGAAATATTACGATAAAAAAGTTTTTGTGAACCATTTTTTTTTAAATCTAAAGTCATCCCCAATTAGGAAAGTCGTAAATGGCCATTACGTGTCTAGAAACGTACAAAGAATAAGATGGCATTAGTTTTATATAGTTCCACGACAAAAAAAAAATTGTTACGTTTTTGCACGGTCTTTACTATATCTTGTGTATCCGTTTTCAACCAATGCAATTGAATTTTCTTCTCATTCTTAATTACTTTACTAATGTCTTAAAATTATTTTAAATTTAAATCATTACACCGTGGAGTAAGTGCTACCAATAGAAGAAAAATAAATTCACAATAAATAGTAGTAATACAAAATAACTATTAATGTATTTCATGCAGAATGGTTCTTTAACACCAGAGAAGAAAAACCGTTCACGCCCACCAAGTTACACAGGGGGCGACTCGCCAGTAACTTTAAGGTCACGGTCGTCTACTTGTGACAGTTTGCAATTAGGGAGTAGCCCTAATAGTAACAGTAGACAAATGCCACCACCACCACCCCCACAGGCGCGTAAACCTGGTAGGTATGGAAATTGTCTCAGTTTTCTAACTCCTTTGAAGAGTTTTTAGTTCATTCAAGTTTAAAGAAAAGAGTGGCTCCTCTTCCGCCTCCTCCAAATTCAATGCAGTTGCAATACGGGACATTGCCTAGTAGCCATAGTCGAACACCATCCGATCCTATAGCTGCAGGCTACCATACCTTAAGTCATACCCATAAGCGTTCACCGAGCAGTGATTCAAGCTCAGGTAGATCTGTGATACCTATAGGTGAGTTATGGTCTTTAGTTTTTTCGTATTCTAAATCGCTTTCAGGAAATAAACTAGTCATATCTTCAGATTGTAAGAGTTCTGATAAGATGGGGATGGTTCGGAGGCCGCAGAATCCTCCTCCACCGGCGCCAAATCCATCAAATCGTCTTTCAAACGGTCGCTCGACTGAAAGTATTTCATCGATGYCGTCTGATATTGACATACCAGGACATAATCCCGTACCACCACCGAGAAGGGTGAGTCGTTAGTTAGTTATACTCGTTGTATATGTGCATTGTATGAACTAACGTTGTGATTTGTGAGTATATTTTTTGAGCCTGATTGGTTTGCAGAGGAGGTACAAGTTACATTTGGAAAGTTGTGCTGAAGAGAATGATGTTTCAAGTCCGGTAAACATGATGTTGTGGGATTGGTTTTGGCTTGCGCATGCGCAAAGTAACATTTGCGCGGTGTTTTCTTTTTTCTAACATTGTGTTATTCCCTTTGGTTTATTTATTTATGGGTTGGTACTATTGCTTTTTTATTATTGTAGGCATCAGACTCTCCTCCTCATAGAGTATCATCTAGTCCAATTTCTACAGGATCTCTTTGCTCTCCGCGCTCAATGATCACTGGAAGATTACCTTATACACCAAACGGGAGCAATGGGTTGAGAAGGTGTAGAGCTTTATATAATTGCAGTGCAGATAACGACGACGAATTATCATTTAGTGAAGGGGAAATTATTATTGTAATAAATGAACATACAGATGACGAGAATTGGATGGAAGGGATGGTTGAGAATCAACCTGAGCGAAAAGGAATGTTTCCTGTAAGTTTCGTTCATAGACTACCCGATTAGTAGTTTTTTTTTTTGAATTGAAAATCTGTTGAGTATTATTAAAATAAAAAGATTTTTATCGGTTCTGAAGCCATATATTCGTCACGTAGAAAATTACTATAAATTTTCTGCCATAATTTCTGTATTTATTTTTTTAACGTAAAATTTGTATTTATTTAGCGACATACATGGTTCAGTGTATATATAATTTATAATTGTTGTGAGCCTGGAGATGTTTTGTTCCTCAGATTATTAAACTTGACTGATGTACCTATTTGTCACTTGCTTGTTTACATTACATATAAAAGCATGTTTGTGTATATAAAGTCATATTTTTCTAGAAAAATTAATTTATACAAGTGATCGCCTGTTAGAATTCTCAAACCAAAGAAAAGTCTATCGTTCTTATGCAGAGTAGTATTTATAGCTATGATTATATAATTGCCAGTGTACATATAAGATAAATAAGTGTATTTTTAGGTAAATGAAATATTTATTTATTTCGCACAATAATCTGGAATGATTTTTACTTTTTATTAGAAACATATCGAAATTTACTTTCTTTGTATTCATTTACAGTATTGTTTGGGCACAAACATGCTATTAAATCAATTTAATGGCTTTTGATGTACGTAATATATTTCCTGTAACTAATAATTAGCCAGAATGTATTGTAGATACGTCAAGTATTGAATACAATTTTATTAAATACTCAATATACAGTCATTGATTGTTCAAATAAATTCGCCAAGTCTTCTTCTGATTGTTCCCGTGGTGCCATCTTAGTGATGCGATTCTGAAAAATGTAACGATTTGTTAAATCAATTCYTAACAATGTCATTTTTTGTTTTTAATAGTAACATAAACGTAACCTAGAATAAGACTTCATAGGTTAAGCAACCAGTGTTCACCAGAAGACTACATGTCTCAATAAAACATTAGATTATTTGTGGTTAAACTGATTTTCCTACCTGTGGAAGGGTTCCTTTAACTAGTTGAGGAATATCATCCTTGACAAATCCCAAAGCCGACAAACCATTTTCAATTTTGATCACATTCATGTATTCTCTCATTGTTTCCGAAAGAATTTTCCCAGCATCGGCCTTTTTGGCGTTACTAACATCGGTTCCAAGCACTTCAGCCGCCTCAAGGTGTCTCTCGGGACACGCAGGAGCGGTAAATTGGAACACAGCAGGGGCACTCATCACCACACTCAATCCATGTGGAATTATCGCATGGTCGTCACTGAAATAAAAAAACTGCTATGGTTTAAAGAAACAAACTGATCAAAACACACAAATATCGCGGAGCACTTGCACGAATGAGCAAGAATATAAATGCTACACGGGCCTCTCATTACTTACTCGTAATCATGGGGTTTAAAAGTCCGGACATTCCCGGATATGGGATACGACAATCCGTGACAAAGATGTACCCCCGCGTTGCCAAACCCCACACCTGCCATAGTCGCCGCTAAATGCATGGCAGACCTTGCTTCAAGATCATCAGGCTGATACACAGCCCTTTTGAAGTATTTTTTGATGATATTGAGGGCGTAGCGCGCCCATACGTCAGAAATAGGATTCTGGCCTTGATACGCCGGCCTTAGGGCCGGATTCGAGGGACAAGGTTTCCTTTCAGTGTATGGAATCGCAGTGAAAGATTCCAAAGCATGACAAAACACGTCAAACCCACTGTACGCAGCCACTTTTTCCGGAAGTGATAAAGTGTGAAGTGGGTCAATTAGTCCCAAAGTTGGCCTTAAAGCCTTGTGTGAAATCCCGGTTTTGGCATGGAGTGGTTTGTAGTCGAAAATACTGACTCCGGTGGTCTCACTCCCAGTCCCCGAAGTGGTTGGAACTAAAAAGTATTTTAATTGCAGTTCAAAATTTTATTAATTGCTTACTGGCAATTAGTGGTTTTAGTGGTTTTTCAATCGGTTTAGCTTTCCCGATGGGTGCGTTGACATAGTCCAAAAACTCGGCCTCGGGGTTACACGCGTACAAATTAGCCGCTTTMGCAGTGTCTATAACCGAGCCCCCGCCTACGGCTATATACGCATCAAAATTGCTGCTTTTTGCGAAATTAGCAGCGTGGAGGAGACTCTCCTCAGTRGGTTCCACTCTGACTTGGTCGTAGACTTGGAACTGGACGTTGTTTTTTGTAAGGGAGTCGATTGTGGCTTGCACTGGGGGTAGTTTGGCCAGTTTGGGGTCGGTTACCACGCAGACATTTCTAGCTTTCATGTTAACCACGTCCATGCCCACTTCTCGTGTCACCCCAGGGCCGTAACGAACCGTAGAGGAACTCATCTTTTAAAGAGAAATTGCAATGAGCGCCAAATTTAGACAACGCAACTTGCATCCGCTGATTAATTTATTTGTAAATTGTGGTTAGAAGGTCGATTTTAATGAAATAATTTCGATTCATGCTTTTAACAAGGATAAAGGATAGTTACTTCGAAAGCGTATTCCTTGGAGGGTAGCGCGTTTGGTACAGTGCTGGAATGCACTAACCCAACATGGGAATGGGCCGGACATTTACACCTGAAATATTTTATGCTGCTTTATCTGTAGATAAACACAAAACTTACTCACGAATTTGATGTTACGAGCTGGAGGAGGTTTAAGACGTTCTTTCGGGATGCCATCTTTAATGAAACTGATTACTACAAACAGGAATCGCTTTCGTTCAAACTTGATAAACAAGTTCAAAGGTTTCTTTAATTCTCGCTAAAACGCGTATCATTGTTTATATTTTTTATGGTTGCGTAAAGTGCTATGATGTGACATTGCACATGCTGCTATTTCGAGCCCCCAAAGGCATTATCATCATTGACTTAAATTGTTTTGAGTGGAATTATCCAATTTATTTATTATAAGTTGCAAATTGTGCCCAAGAAGATTTCTCCTTTATGAAATAAACATTTTTCTAATCATATCGCACCGACATGACAACTAAACCAATAATTTAACAACGAAACTGGCGCCGAATTTTTTTTATGTATGTGACAAAGGACACATTAAATTCTAATTTAAGCCTTGTCGAAAGTGCAAGTAATTATAAATATTTACATGAAAGGCCTTCATTTTATCGATTTAATGCTGCATTAAAAGGAAGCAATGAAAATACAACTGATTTCATCACAATATTGAAAACAAAGAGTTCTACGTGATCTCCAAATCTACATGCGAATCACAAACTTGTGGTTTAGCATGTGACGTCAGTGTGTACCTACTAATTAGCCAAAAATGTACCACAAGATACAATAAATTATTAAACAAGCCTAAGGTATTTAATTGTTCTACACAGATTACGACGAGTCGCTAGTATTATGTTATTAGAGTGATAAAAATCATTCCTTTTAGTCGTTTATTGGGATTAGAGTTTTTTGAATTTAGAGGCAGCTGTCGCTACAAGAAATGTAAACAAGATAAGGCTTGATTAGCGATTAAAACAATCTCTAGTTGTGCAATGTTATGATTTAGTCTGGCTTTAATTAGAATTGAAGTTTCGGTCAGGTTTTCATGAATGACAATGAGAATGGAGTCTGGAGATATTCCCTGACCTGTCCTTGACTTTAGTTATAGAAATTGTGATTGCATTAGAGAATTTGTCACCGAAACTCTTCTATCAACTAATAAAGCCCTCAAGAATTATTAGATTTGTCCCCGTGGGTGAAATAAAAAGAGATTAAGGTTGTCGTCTTCGTGACCCGCCTATGAATAGGCAAACTGTTAGACGTCATTAAAAGTTTATAAGGAATTTAAGGTCACTGTCTTCGGATAATTTGAATGAATATTAATTCGGTATTTTTGCTATCTTATCCTGTGACGTCCCCGAAGTTGTCATAATGATCTAGATATCTGCTTGAATACAAGGGAAACAGCCACATAAATGTATTAACATGTTAACAGATACACCCCCTAAATTCATAACTAGGCTGTCTTAAACTTTGAATGTGATTAAATTTGGTTCAAAACATTGTCTCCATATCGGACAAGCTTTGTTTAATCAACTGGAGAAAATATACTTTATCACTTATCAACCTGATAATAGAAAAATATTTGCTGTTACTGCGTCGCATGGGAACGAAATTTTCAACGAATTTCGTGCAATTTATCAATTTATATTTTGTTTACAATTTAAAAAACAAGTTTACACATTTATCAGTGTAAAGGGCAATGGCTAGCAAACGAGATAATTTTATCGTCATGCCCCAAACAGTAAATAAAATTCAGGTTAAGGCTAAATTAGCAAAAATTTGCGTGATTTTCTAATTACTCAAGGTGTTTGTGTTCGTGGTCCACTCGATTGTGACTGACAAATTCAATGTTATCGTTGGCATTGTTGACTGATTAGAAAAAAATACGTGAATTCTAACGACCAAAGATCGATTATTTCACAATAATCACCAAGTCCACTTCTAGTTCCTTCTTTTTTTTTGCACTTTTGACTCCCAGTATTTATTTCAATCAGCCAAAATCGGTCTGGTTAAGTGATATTAGCTTAATTTTCGTCACTGTTCAATAAACCGGGTTCAACAAACAGTAAACAAACAATTATGCAACAAGTTCGGTTCAAATTGAAATTTTGCAATGTTATATTATATAAAAGAGCTCACTAGACTCTTATCCACAATTAGGCCAACATAACTTCCGAACGAAGAAGTGAAAGCATTAACACTATAGTGATCAATGTTTAATTACAAAAATTTAGAAACGTAATATAGTCGTACCAAATATTCTACTACGAATATATTACAAAAAAAATGTTTTGTCACTGGACTTTCCTAGACTAAAAAACTTATTTACAAAGTGGTTTTAAATCACATCTCAGCTAAGAATGTATCAGATAAGAAAAATAAACTTACCTAGAAATGTGACTAAAATTTTTCCAATTTCGTAATTGGAACTTCCTTATCGTCCTTAAAAAAACGGAAACGTATACAAATGCAAAATAAGTGATAGCGAGACAGGAAAAATATAGACCCAGTTAAATAATTTATTATCAAATTTTTTTACATGTGTCTCAGTATAATTAATAAGGTGATGGCATAGATATACTGTACTACGTATTATCATTGAAAACAATAAAATAAAACAAAATTATAAACAAGTCAACTAACGTTACTTATGATAAAACACAGTTAAGTAATTAAAATTAAGGTAGGGAATTATGAACTTGGGGTTTGAACTCGTATCGATTAATGATGGGAGTTCGCGATCCGGTAAGGTCTTCAGAAAGTGGCCTATACACGGAGCCACTGTGTTTCTTTTGCCCTGGAGTTACATGCCACAAGGGTATCTTCGGTCGGGGAAGATTACCAGTATGCATATTGAACGATTTGTTCCTCTTCAAAACCAAGAGAGTGAGAACAACCGCCACAACGGATACTAAAACAGCGGTCAAAATAAAGACCGATGTGATGGAAAGGATGTAAGTTGCCCGTGCTAGGTTGAAGGGCGAGGGGACTTCGATGACCTTCTCGACGGGGATCTCCTCATTATCGTCGTTTTCCTCGTAGTCATCGTAAAATTCGTCGTCATCGTCAGGAACTTCGTCCAAGGTTTCAGGATCGTCCTTTTCCTCCTCTAAGTCAAAGTCGCAATTAGGGATGATTTTCGGCCACATAGGTTGAAGAACAAGCTTCGTGTTTTCGGCAAATGTCAATTCTTCGTGTGTTTTAAACTGGATACCGCCAACTTCCGCCGGATAAACGGACTTCTTGATAAAGTATTTAACAACTTCTTCGAGGTCAACCGTACACGTCAATGGATTTTCTTGCAAATCAATCACTTTCAGTTTTGGCATGACCTCAATGTCCTTAAGTCTTATCACAGATAGTTTATTGTGGCCCAGGTAGAGTTGGGTCAGTTCTGGAAGTTCGGCGTTGTAATTGCTCCAGACATTCTCAAGAGCACAACTACTGATATTCAAAATTTTCAACGATGGAAGTGCAGCAAACATAACTGGGTCCAATGGCAAGAGAGGGTTATTAGACAAGTCGAGTGTTTCCAATTTAGAGTTTTGACCGAATGATTTAAGCCCGATTGAAGCAATTTGGTTATTTGATAGGAAAAGTTTTTGAAGATTGGACATTTCGGTAAAAGCACCGTCGATTTCATTGATTTCATTGTTGGATAAATCAATTGTTGTAAGTCGTTTCATGTTTTCAAGCCCACGAGCCGATTTTAAACCGCAGTTATTGCACGAGAATATATTAGTCTCAAAAACAATTGATTTCGACTGGAAATTCGGTAATTTTTTAAGTTTATTGTTACTGAGATTGATGTTATTGAGCAGAATGTTTTCTGAAAAGATGTTATCGTCCAATTCGACCAAGTGGTTGTCCGATAAATCGATTGTTTCGAGAGATTTCATTGGATTGAAAGTATCAATTGGCAAAACAACAAGGTGGTTACCACTCAAATCGAGAAGAGTCAAGACTGTCAAATTTTTAGTGGCATTTTCATCAAAAATTGTCAAATTGCAATGAGCAAGACTCAGACTTTCCAAAACATTATCGGAATGGAACCTGAAACTTTTCAAAGGATTGTAGTCCAATTTTAAAGTATCAATTTCGTTTTTACTGAAAAGATTCATAGGTAATTCTGAAATGCTATTGTTTGATAGATTAACTTCTTCTAATTTTTTCAACTTCGAGAAAGCTGATTCCGGAATATTTTTGATAAGATTATTCGCGAAATTAATAAAAGTCAGTGATGGTACATTATCTAAGTTTGGTACTTCAGACAGCTGACAATCTTCACAGATGAATTCTTCTAAAGCTTCAGCTTTCAAATTTATTGTATTGCCAAATTGGATTTTTTTGAAACTGATAGTACCCAGATGTTTCCAATCAAATGCTGCAGTATCAATTGTGCCGACATTAGAATTTTCAATGTCTACTTCTTCTAATTGTTTGAAATCTTCAAAAGCATCATTACTAATGTGTTGGACGTCAATATTTTTAAATTTGATAAAAGTGCGATCTTTGGGGATATTTTGAAGAGTGTTTTTGGTTAGCACAAACTGATTTTTGCAATTAAACACTTCGATTGCTTTTCTCGTGATTGCATTCTGCTCCTTGCATTCACAACCATCGATGCAGTTAACGTTACTCCTAGGAGTTGTAGTTACAGAGCTTACGGCCGAAACGACGACAAGAAGTAGCCAAAATTGGTGTAATCGCATCTAAACCAAAGAAATTAATTAGAGTTCATGTCGCAATATGTGTTGCTAGTATTTTATCAACAAGATAACAGCTTTATTTATACCGTGACACGTAGGTAGACTAAAAATCGTTACGGAAAAAAGACAATTCGTTTTTAATGTCGCACCGACGAAAAACAATTGTCAATGTTGAGTACTGCGACTAACCTTGATGCAACTTCTTGTTGCGCATCTTTGCATTAGAAGATTAGTAACAAGTGACTTAAGGTTTGTTAACTGTAGAGGAGTAATTAGTAGTACTCACCATCGGTTTTTTGACACTCATGAGGCTGAAATAACGTGGAAGAGTCCGCGGAACAAACACTCCGCACTAGCAATGAATCACAATGTAATTCTACCTTTCTGTAGGTACCTGTGTTACTACAGGTCAGCTCCAGGTAATATCCCCCCACTACGCAGAGTTAGTTGATTATTAGTTGATTATTTTACGTGTAGATGGTGTGGAGTGGCTTGAAGAGACTTAAGACTTGAATCATTGCGTAATGAACGCATTTCCACATCGGGTGGAAGCAGCAGTACTCCGGGTTTCACTCCGTATTCACGCGTTCGAAGGAAAGCGCGCGCTGTCTTCAAATCGGTACTATTTTTAAATCGTCTTTGAGTTATTAGAAATTTGTTGAATTTATGACTGACTGTAATTCGATAGTGAGATAAGAACATTCATGTTAAGTGCCAACATGTGAGTGCAGTGAGGTCTGGATAGCGCTTACAGACAGTTACCAGCTCCCAAGTGCATCAGCGGTCCCGTGCACTTTATTTTTTCAACTTGACTCCTCAAAACGTAAGTGATTTTAAATCGTGCACTTGAACTTTTTCCAATGGGTCAAATTAAATGAAAAATTCAGACGTTACGCAAAATATTGTCTTGGTGCGTAATTGGTTTATTTTGGAGAATGCGACTTTCTCTTTCTCTTGTTGAAAAGTGCGGTGTGGCAGTGGCCCAAATTTTAAAATAATGGTTGCAATCGCATTTTGTGCGAAATGTGCCGTTACACCGGCTCGCTACCTACTTTTTGAGAGTGAATCATACGACATCGGGCAACCAATCTTGGTTTAGAAAGTGGTCGCGTTTCGATTTGTCCCTTTGCCGGTCCTGAATTACGCAACCTTTTTATTGTGTTCGCATCCTTGTGCATTCATTCATCAAGATGCGTGGACAAGTAGTGCGGAAATACTGCATTATTCCGTGGCCAATTGTCGGATTGTCACTGTCCCACAAGTAGCGATTAATTAATTTGTTGCATACTAATTGATTGATTTTTTTCAGGAACAACATGAAACTACTAGTGCTAGTTGCCAGTTTGCATTTGGCTCTGGGGGCGTCCATTGTTGATGTGACTTGTCCTGAATCCTGCACCTGCCAAATACAGGATGAACGATTGGAAACTTCATGTGACTCCTACGAGTTCATCAAGAAACTCATCCCGAAACAAATATCAACAATAGTGCGTTTAAATATCAACAATGCGTCGATAATTAACGTCGATTCCAAGTTGAAATATTTAAAAAATTTGAACTCTTTGGATTTATCAAGAAACACAATCACATCTCTACCATCACAATTCCCTTATTTGCCAAAATTGAAGAATCTGAACTTGAGTATGAATTACTTGAGTCGTGTTGAGTTCTCACAACTCCCGAAAAATCTACAAGTCATTGATTTATCACACAATTTGATTGAGAATTTCCCAAAAGACTGGACGTTTTTGAAAGAACTGAAAACTATTTATTTTCATGACAACCCCATTAATTGTGATTGTGATAACTTATCAGTTTTTGAACAACTCAGAAACGCTGGAATTATATCAGAGAACCTCACATGTGACCTTCCCAAGGAGTTTCACGGCCGATCATTAGATTCAGTTAACTGTTTCTTGATCAAAGAAAATTTGTTAAATTCAATGTTGGGTGACGAGGCTGGTTCAGGCCAAGACGATTTTGAAGCCAAAGAAGACACTCCATTAGACGAACAAGAAGAATTTTTCAAAGCTGAAGGTATTACCCAAACTACGGAAGATCTTACAGAAGGTAGTGGTGATGAGGGAAGTGGTGATACTCCAATCCTGCCAATTGAACCAAAAGCTTGCCATTTCAACTGTTCAACTGCCAATCCTATTGGAATCCACGACGAAATTAATGCTTCTCCTGCCCCCGACTTGAAGGAAGGAGTAAAAATAGTTTTCGAAGATGTTCTCCAACCAGAACCAGAACCAGAAACCACAACAACGACCAAAAGTCCTGTCACTGAAGAGATCCAAATCGGAAAAGAAGAACCAACATTTGTCAAACAATCAGACAAAAGTGAAGTTGAGATGTTCCCAACTAATGACACCGTTGTTGGTGAAATGGAACGAGCAAGTTTTGAAAATTCAAACACTCATTCTGTTTATATAGTGGTGGGTTTAGTGATAGCTTTGATTGCGTTCCTGATCGTCTACTATGTGAATCGGAAGAACCAGAAGCGGAAGAATCAACGCAAACGAAACAAATCGAATGAAAACGGCTTTGGGGAAGAGATGAAACCTTTGGGGAAGTCTTTGGAGGCTAAAGCTCCAAATGAAAACAACACCAAATTGCCGAACGAGACAGCGCCTTTGTTGAATGGCAATGGTAAAGCTAACGARGATGTTGAATTGCGTAAAAAAGATTCGTTGTCACCTCAACCTGAACGAGTGACGATTAAAGCATCAGAGCTTCCCGATTCAGTTCCGAAGACTCCAATTCTTGTCCATCGTCAAATAAATAGTAACGGCGAAGTTGTCACAACGACAATGCCACTTTATTCCAACTAGAAGGTACTAGTGATGTGAATACCTCAGTATTTAATAAAAGAATACGTATGTGATAAAATAATCTTATGCGGTCGTTCCTATATTTTAGTCTTCGACTTGTCCAAGTCGATACTTACGTAAGTTCGCAATTTTGACTGTTCGACTGTTATAGGCTATTGTATATTTACTTATTTTTATGTTTATATATTTATATATTGTTACCAAAGTAATTTTTATGTGGAGAGAGATTTATTAGCAGGTGGTGCTTTTACTGCTAAATAGAAGAGTACTTGTGGTAATAACTCGGTCCCTTACTTGGAAAAGTATTTGATCTATTTTGCCAGTGCCATTYGTTTCGATAAATCACGAAAATGGGTTTATTTAGCAACTTATTAAAGTTATCATTAGGCTAATTTAAYATAGTTTACGAATTGTGATTTTATTTAATTTGTTTTCTACTTATTTATTTRGAAATGCAAAAAATCGAAACTAACAACATGGATCGAGACCAGGGTAGAATTTAGTTGTTGTGAATCATTGGTTTATTTTGTAAAAGTTATGAACATACTCATTCGTTTTTGTATCAGTTTTGCAACTTAATAAATCGTTTAAATTTTAACTTTGTCTTCATTTTCCCCGAATTCAAGGCTGTAAAACACTGTTTAAACAGTTTACGCAATTAACAACGATTTCAGAAAATCAAAGCAATCAAAAGGAGCAATTACGTTGTCCCAAGGCCGGAAAACAAATTTTTACCCTTTAAACCGGCTCAAAATTACTAACAAATCTTTAAAAAGAGATCAAATTGCAATAGTTCACTTGTGATTCAACGCCAAGTCATAAAACGTGACAAAAATAACTCCTGATAAGATTAGACGATATAATTCTTCGTGTGAGTCCTTTGCAATAAAAATTATTTACAAAGAGTTAGAAAACAAATTAAAATTCATGACAGATGAATTTCTCAAAATGTAAAAATTACTCTCGGAACCGGAAGCAAGCCTACGTGTCTCGGTTCACAAAATATGCATCCGTTTGAGTGGACTGACGCCAGTGTGGTCCTATCTCTGATATAATTACATATCAATTTTGAAGGACACGTTTAAGTAAAAACAGATAAAGATTATGTAAGTCGAGTTTACACTGACGCATGTAGCGTTTCGCGGAATTCCAGGAAATAGGGGGTGCACAATCTCCTTTTTGCACGTTCTTTTCAGAGGGTTGATGTTGATATTCCAGCTAATTCATCTCAAGGGATGCCAAAGAATTAATAATCTGCTGATATAAAAAGAATCGGCACAACCACTAATCAAATACTTGTTCGAGAGCAAAAAGAGACTTTTGCTTCCTCACTAATTACTGTAGTAAGTGAGACTCATGCAAAGAACAAGTTATGGCAAGTAAAACCAGAAATTTGTGCAATTCCAATTACAGTGGAATGATATATCGCAGGGAAACACAGAGTTTAAACATCTAGGAGTGTCAAATTTTATGAATTTCTTACATTTTATCTCCTTATTTAGCCTTCAGATGTGATTGATGATTTTTTTACGGCAACGTCTGATACAGTTTATTACCATTTTATAGCCAAAATAATTACATTTGAAACAATGTAAACTCCATAGAAATAAAACTACGTTTCCAGATGTATTAAAAAATCCCAAATTAAGTTTTATTATTCAAGATAATTATAGCGAATATTTCCTTCATACAATGAAAAAATTATAATTACATTAATTACTATGGTTTCTGCCCATTTTACAGCGATTATTTGCAAATGTCAAAATTTTGCCGCGGTTAAAATGTGTCAAAATTTAATTGCTTCTGAAACATGAATGCAAACAAATAATTTGTAAAATTTTTGAAAACGATTTTTGTCTCATTTCGGAGTAAATTCTTTCGAAAATATTGAATCTGCCGTTGGTAGAAGTGTGATAATTAATTTCACAAAAATATGCACAAGATATTAAGAAATATGCTCCAATATAGGCCAAATATGCATTGATGTGCAAAACTTTTAACAATAAAAAATCAAAGTTTGGATAAATTTTTATTCTCGACTTTGTATTTTTGGCATCTTGAACGAAAGAAAATTGGTTTTACCTCAGACAAGCCATTTTATTAAGTTTTATCAAAAACAAAATTTTTCAAAATCTTTTGTTTTTAAGTTCTACAAAAATATATTTTTTTTAAATGACAACCCACTAAAAAAACATTTTTTTCATTAAGATTATAATCTAAAAATTACAACTAGCTATTTTATATTCATTTCTTTTAGTATTTTTTTGCATATATTGCAATTTTGATAAAAAAATGCATAACTCAAAAACAAAACAATTTTTTTTTCTCAAAATACGATCACATTTTTATATTACTTTAWTTTATATTAAGTATTATTTTCTAGAGGCAAATGATCAAAAAAAAAACGCTTAGTTCCATACTTTATATTCACCCTGTATAAAACGAATTCAAAAAGGAAACACTCAGCAGGATACTAATTTTTTCAGTTCGGCTTACAAATTACCGGTTGTTTTCTCTTTAACATATTTTGTAATCGGATCTTTTTTCTTAAACTGTCTAATTTTTAACTTGAACTGAAATTTTTGATTTGAAGAAAATATGCACAAATATGCAATATTTCCTAAAATATGCACAAAGTTGCCAAAARATGCATTTTTAATGGTCTATTTAATCAAAAAACATCAGATATGCATAGAAAACTTATAATTTTGTTGATGTACGTCTTAATAACAAATATGCATTTTGCATATAATCCGACCCATAGTGATAATAATAATTTGTTCGAAATTTATTATTTATTCAGGACATAATAAWAATAGCCTGACAAAATTTTGACGTTTTCCTCAAAACGTTTCGCTAAGAAGGCCAATTTTCCACCTAAATTGTTACGAGCAACATTTGGCAAAAACATCAAAATTTTATTTTATTTTATCGCCTATTTGGGATATTACTGTTGAAAAAATTCGTGGACGGATTTATCAGTAATATTGATTGGGGTATTTGTGTCAGGAAGTGGTATCATCCTGATATCAGCATGTGTGGCAAAGCAATAACTCTTTCCCACAAAATTTATAACGAAAACCGTTAAATCACTATAGTTGACATTGTAAGTACCTGTCGTTCAGGTAGAAAATGTCTGGTTAAGTGCTAGAAAGTAGATTTTGTTGAGATAATGCGTATTTGGCCTATTAAGTTAGGTAGAAAAATTTGCCGGAAATGACATTAGTCAAAGTCGCAAAGTCGGTGAATGCAAAATAATGTTATAAATATGGCTTTCAGGGCATGCCACTTCTATTTAGCATTAATAAATATTGGTAAATTGCCCATTTATGGATTTATGTACGTAGGTAAATAATTCAATGTGCCAGAGATTAAAATATTTAATTCGTACGGTATTTGGGATCAATAAATTATTATTATGAATTATAATAATTAGGAATTACAGAGTGTTGCATTTTGAAGTATTAACGTGTTTTCCAGTGAGAAAAAACAAAGCTATTACGCGAAATTGATCTTTGGATTTGAGGGTCCACAATGACGCATCCAGGATTAAATTATTATAATCAAAGTGCGACCTTTATCACACTTTTTTTTAAATACTGAACTTTGTTTCGGAAACTTTCAACTAAATAAATATTTTGGTACTTATTGATCGTATGCAAATGCAAAGGTAACGTGTAGAAAAAAGTTCCATTTATTGTTTGACGAAACTTACGTAATATTTATCGTCAATGTTAGCAAGTCATTTCTTATTGATTTTTCTAAGTATAATTATTTGAATATGAGACGATTCGTTTTCTATAAATATCGAACAAAAGCAAGACACTCAAATTTCATTTAATCTGCTGATTTTGTCGAGGTTCTCTTATTTAAAACCTCTTTGCAAGGTAAAAATTCAAAATTGCATTTTTTATTTGCCTTGAAAGTGTAAAAATCTGACTAATGTCAAGATTAAGTTACACTGACTCGGTTGTGGTCAACGTCATACACATTGAAAATTCCCATGTATAAAATTTGAATCGATATCAATCAATGATAAGATTATAGGTCATCAGGTGCTTAGTATTTGATCTTCAAAATTTTTGAGAGAATTTTCAGTTGATAAGATTTGTAGAAAAATCGCGGTCAAAGCAACTTTGTCGCAATATTTAATTAAATGCAGGACAAATAATTAAGAATTTAATTGAAGCTGAATTATAAATTGTGTAAAGTTTAACGAGTTTTTTAGTTACTATAATTGCGTTATTTTTTTGTTTATTTCTTTGATATTCTCTTTGGTGCAATTTTGGAACTTTCGCCGTGTCGGTAATTAGGGATATCATTAAACTTCATTTAGGTTGTTGCTAATTTGAGCCTAATTTGTGCTTGTGGTTGATTGTCAACGAAGAATTTTATCTCTGAGCCGTAACGGCACGCAATTATTACGTTACGTATCAAGTTACTAATTCGTTTCAACRACTAGCTTTGTTGACCGATTCAAATTACATCAAAGAAATTCGGTGGAAAACTTTCATGATTTATTCTAAAGSTYAAGTAAAATTAGCTCTTTTTTTAATTGGTACACGACCGGAAGAGGGACAAGCATGACATCCATGTCTCTGATAAAATAAATAGTAAATAAAAAAAATGAGACTTAACAACATTCCGTAATAACTAATAACTTAAGTAAATCATCGAAGTTGTTTGTTTTATGCGTGATAAGATTGAACTTTTATCACAAGTGAAGTGAAAGAGTGTTAAATAATTAAAATATGATTTCAAAGGGCCGGAAAAGGCTTGTTTTATTGATATTCTAAGGTCTTTTTTCGTCCTAAATCCYGGGTGCAAAGCAGATCTTTTAGGTTTTAGACAGCGTTTGAATTTTATATGAAAAGATGATACATTGTTATGGTTTCGAAGATTTGTATCGTGTGTATTTACAGATAACAATCCGTGTCGCGTTTATAACCGACCGACCAGAAACTACACAACTTTTTCATTTTTCTTTACTCATTTGCATGTATAATGATAGTGTTTAATTACAAAACGTGTGTAATTAATTTCTTGATTTACTTATTACCCAAGAACGGAATAACGTGTTTTTATTGCTGATTACTTATGAGAAATTGACAATGACAAAGTGACGTGCTTATTTACGTGTAATAATGTGTTTATTATTATTGTATGTATCCAGTTTTTCGGAAAAATCAATTTCAAGAAATGTCTAAAAATTTATTTGCAACAAAGTAACATTGTTGTGTATACGGTGCCAAATATAGACAAAGTAGGCAATAAAATACCTGAAAGGAAAACTAATAAAGCAAGAGAAACTAAGACTTTTAAATTGTGAAGAGTAACATAAAACAAGTAACTCAAGCCTCAGGAATCACTTTTAAAATAATCGAAGATTAATGTATGTAGTGAGAATTGCATTTTTGTTATTGGGAGTTTTATTTAATTATGCTCTACATACGCTTCATTTAATCAGTGTCGAGTTTCCATTTCAAAACCATTATCCAGGCAATTAATTATTATTAAATATTTCCATTTTCTTGCAGGGTGGTACAACACTGAAATATATTTTTAAAACTTGTCAATTGTGAGCAATTTCCTGAGTTT